TCATTCAACGCTCGCTCTGGCACGTATGCTTTTGTTGTTGGTGTTTCAATTTTTTGTTGTTTCTTTACTTGTTTTGACGTCACAGGGAACTTCGTAAAAGTTTGCGAAGTCATGAGGGACTTCATTTTCAAAAACCCTCCAAACCAACGCATGTCGGGCCCTGGTATAGGTACAGACATAGGCGAGATGTAAAGCATGAATCAAATTTGCTCAGGCATCGCATGTCAGGGAACTGCACTTACGTTACTCTACTCTTGCTACCGGCATTATTATATGGAGCGTTGTCGGTATTTTTTGGCTACTGGACAACAAATGATGAGGAGATAAGCATGTGTAATCCGCCCAATGCTCTGCAAGAAAACGTGAAAGCTGTTTGGTATATAATAGCATTCGTTCTCTGTGGAGTTACACTATTCTGCTATGTACTTGCATTCTTGGTACTTTCTTACAAACGTAAGCGATTCTGTAATTTGGATTATTGTTGTCAAGCGATGCAATTGCGGACTGAAACTTTGACTTGACTGTTTCAGACCACCATCGTGTTGATCGAAAACATGAGAGCGCACGTAAGTCAATGCGAAGTCTCACGGTGATATTTTCAACGTTTCTATGCACGAGATTTATCACCATATTAACAGCAAATGCGTTGAATATTGCAAATGTCAATCCCAACTATGTTGTACTTTGCCAGATGTACAGCGTGAGTTTTGGTAACTATGTCTATAATTTACGTTGCTGATTTTCTCTTGTTCTTTGTTGCATACTCTAATGGAAATTGCTTAAATACATTTGCAGGCGGTTACGGCTATGATATCTTATAGTCTAAACTTTTATGTGATTTTCTGGAGAAGTAGGGACTATCGTGAGCATCTTCGCCAACAGCAGAAAAGACTCCTCAGATATTTTTTTGGCATATGCTTTCAATTCGCTACAAAAAACGTCTTCTTCTCCAATCAGGCAGCGAGCACAAGCGCAGTCAACATAACTGTGATTAGCGCAAGGCAAAGGTAAATAGATAATTACTTAAAGTCTGTGCCTTAGATATTCTTCATCAATTTTCTCCAACAATTGACTTGGATCAAAAAAGCGTTTGATCAATGCAATATAACTCTTCTCCTCAAAAGCACTAAGCAAAGCAGGTCCAACATATGTTTTCCAAGGAATCCTCGTGTAGGGGAAAGGGATGTGTAAAGATGACATAAAAACTCTGATTCATTTTCCTACAGCCGAGCTACGAATCATATGCAGAATAAGACGTAGACTGAGGTTGTGCGAGTTAGTTCACGTAACATTCTGTAAAGCAATTCTCGGCACTGCATCACTGATGCCATGTCAGACGTAAAGCACTTTCAATAATAGATCTTGCAAGCAAGTCTGGATCTGGATTTGGTTCTCAACAAGTCATGGTTTGTTGAATGATCCGAAGACTAACAGCTGTTTGCATAGAAGGAAAAATTGCACTTTGCGTGACTGTCAAATCAGGCGATTCTGACAGCTTTACCATATTTGCGCACGGCATGTCGTAACTTCTCTGGAAAATAAATCCATGCAGTAGTTTTTATCTTGAATCCTAAATTTTTCCTATTGAGCGAAATGATGTTGTTCTGTTTCATGGAAGCTGTACGGGCACTATAAAATACTCATTTTGCTTGAACCGTCATTCAAGTATTCAAATTTTTTGCTTACCGGAAGCGAAAAAAGTTGGCTGGTTAAGGTTCCTTCTAAGACAACAACTTGATAGTAAGCCAGTCTTATGTGAGGATCAAGGTGCATTTAAGCTCATTACCCTTAATCACGACTAAAATTCATAATTTGCTCTCATAGGAGCAATGTGGGGGGGGGGGCTTCAGTTCAAGAATCTTTCTTTCAAACACGGATGTAGATAGAAACCTGCTTCTTTTCAACATGTTGAAAACGAGTCATTTCTAACCTATGTCCCTGTGGTCGAGACGTTTGCGTACATCTCCGCGCTTGGCTGCATATATGCATGCGTGAGCAATAATCTGTGCAAGCTCCTCCCACTCGACCATGAACGTCGGTATTTACACAAGTCTGAAGGAAATCATGCAAATTCTTAGTTTGGAAAAGAGTGAGCTTGCGAATGAGTGGGTCGAGCTTGTCTGAGGGAGGGCTAACTTATTTTGAATCGCTTGATTTCTTTGCGTTCATCTACAGCCTCTTCCATGCTGCTTGTTAGCAAAAAGGGTCTTGGTAAAAACCGAGTTTACCGAAGAGGATGGGCTATTATCCAAAGTACATCCAAATCTATGTTGATTATATGAGCACAAACTGGGAGGACTGGACAAATATCATATTGACGGATAATGACTAAGGACTTTATTTTGTTTCAATGTTTAGAACAAGCGGTCGTGTAATTACCAAGAAAACATGAATGCCTGTGCGCATCTGAGGTTATAGCACACCCAGTTGAACACGTTGAGTGGCAGCAGCTGTTGCAAGAAAGCTGAACGCACCTGTGAGATGATTGGAAAGGTTATAAAGCGGCGGCGAAATGGAGTTGCTGTCAAATTGAGAATTAGTCGCCTGTGAACACCGAAAGAGTCCGCGAAATGAGATTTGCAGGACTGATG